CTCGAGAGATTTTTTGGTTCGATATCAGAGGGTGGAAAATGAGAATATCTTGCAAAATGCAACAGAGTTGCACATGAGAGTGCAATAATCTCACCGAACACAGCTTAGTATAGACGCACAAGCGGACTCGCAAGTTTTTCATCAAACATGTAAAATGATTGGCGCTTTCATACGCTATGGACCAACGATACGGCGAAATGAATTCTGAAAACGTTGAAAAGAACAATGTGAAAAGCAAGCTTACTAAAGCTCACGAGCTTACTAAAGCTATGTGAAAAGCAAGCTTAGCAATGTGAAAAGCAAGCATAATAAGTGGCGAAAATCGACATGGTAACGAATAAAAAAAATCTCATTTTTGAAAAGGGAAAATTAAGCAGTTCTTAAAAACACCCAATGAAAAAAGAACCTTTAAGGGCTTTTAAGTAACGAAAATCGAAATTAAGTACCCTTAAGCACTTTTTAAAAATACGCTACGCACCATGTTGAAAAGACATCAGTTGAAAATGCAATAATTCAACAATTACCTTTCACTGAAACAAAATTAAGTTTAAAACTAAGATGATTTTGCCAAATTTGTTCAAAAATATTCAGTTTTTGTATATATATCTATACAAACAAAATAGATTCTGAAATTGCTTAAACGCTAAAAAGTCTCTTTAAGGAACAAATTGGTTTATTGGATACNCTCAAAAAATATTTTTAAGCACTATATACATTAACAAAATGCAAAATAATTTTCAAAGAATTTAGATGATGATGAGAAAATAACTAGTTTCTGACAAAGAACTCTTTTTCTCGATTTTATTAGTCATTATAAAATGCTCGAGAGATTTTTTGTTTCGATATCAGAGGGTGGAAAATGAGAATATCTTGCAAAATGCAGCAGAGTTGCACATGAGAAGGAAATAATCTCGCCGAACCGAGCTCAGTAGACGCACATACAGACTCGCAAGTTTTTCATCAAACATGTAAAATGATTGGTGCTTTCATACGCTATGGACCAACGGTACGCCGAAATGAATTGTGAAAACGTTGAAAAGAACAATGTGAAAAGCAAGCTTACTAAAGCTATGTGAAAAGCAAGCTTAGCAATGTGAAAAGTAAGCTTAGCAATGTGAAAAGCAAGCTTAGCAATGTGAAAAGCAAGCATAATAAGTGGCGAAAATCGACATGGTAACGAATAAAAAAAATCTCATTTTTGAAAAGGGAAAATTAAGCAGTTCTTAAAAACACCCAATGAAAAAAGAACCTTTAAGGGCTTTTAAGTAACGAAAATCGAAATTAAGTACCCTTAAGCACTTTTTAAAAATACGCTACGCACCATGTTGAAAAGACATCAGTTGAAAATGCAATAATTCAACAATTACCTTTCACTGAAACAAAATTAAGTTTAAAACTAAGATGATTTTGCCAAGTTTGTTCAAAAATATTCAGTTTTTGTATATATATCTATACAAACAAAATAGATTCTGAAATTGCTTAAACGCTAAAAAGTCTTTTTAAGGAACAAATTGGTTTATTGGATACTTTCAATTATCAAAACATTTTTTTTAGAAATTGTTAAGAAACTGACTTAAATATGAAATAGCAGAATATAGACTTAAATATGAAATAGAAAGAAATGTTTATGACCGATTTTCTTTTTCAATTTTTGTGATACAGAATATAATCGTTTGCATGGTGAATTAAAACCATTTGACAAATGGAATATTTTTTAAGAAAAATCATTTAAAGTTTCGTTTTATTTTGTACTATATTCGCCGTCTGTCATGATGTATTTTAAATGAATGATACATTTCATAATATAGATAATAATTATAATTAAAATAGATTTTAATAATGCTAGAGGCAAAATATTTCTAGCTAAATTTTACACTAGTTCATAAAAATAGAAGCGTATGAAATTATCCTACTGAAAATCTTAAGCAAAATCTAATAATGTAGTACCATTATCAAATCTATTTTTTACGAATTTTGGAGCTCAAGAAGTTGTGATTCAATTATTAAAATTAACAAGATGCATGCAAATTAACTTACTTCATAGATATGCAACGTTAAAACTTCATAAGAATTTTTTTACGTACTGTTATAAGATAATAGTTATTTACACGGTTAATTCGTTTTCAACCACTCTAAACATGTGCCAAAATTTTGATCTCAAAATTAAAGCAAACTTGCTTAGTGACTATGTAAGAAAAAAAATTCAATTTACTTCTCAAAAATTATAACGAATATTTGTTAGTAGATAAAGGTTTTGTAACGGCATCAGCTGGAACATGCAACGTGTGAAGTGAAATGAAGTGGAGAAAATAATTTCAAGATGGCGGACAAGCTACTTAAGAGTGAAGCAAATAATGGAGATTTGGAGTGTTTTCAACACAAGCGAAAATGCTTTTAAATTACATCGCTAATTAAGAAATTGAATAAAGCACGCTACAATTTTAAACTCAGAGTATCTTTGTTTTATTTTCCTTTGAGTAATTCTAAAAAAAAAATTGTATAAATTAAGAAGTATGTATATGTATAAATTAAGAAGTCTTAACCATTGTGGAAACAGTGATCCCACTTTTATAAAATTCTTGAAATGCAGGAAGGCTGCTTACCAATTTTTTATCACCTTCTCAAAATCCATTTGAATTGCTAATTTTGCTTCTTTATTTCATTGATGGTAATTAATTCCCTTCGTTACTTAAATAATCTCAAGTTAATAAAAAAAATCATTTGTTAAAATTTTAACTCCAGGAAATATCTCAGTTATTTAATAAAAGAAGAAAAATAATTGTGTTCACTGAGATTTAAAGTTGTAAAATAAGATATTTCTTCACATTAAGATTCAATTTATAAACATAGAAAGGATTTTAGTCAGAAAATTCAAAAGTACTTATTTGCGATAGTGTAAGGATAAATTTCTTTGTTTGCTAACATAATTTTAAATATCAGAATTAGAAATAGGAATGTTAATAACCTTTTTATTATATTTTTTGGTGTATATTGATATCTTCAAAACTTATATAGTATAAGTATATTTTTGTTTTTACTAGTTATGCTGTAAAAAATGAAATGGAAAACGCATTTATGACAACAGATTACAAATAATATATTGTCGCGTGCACAATTCATCGCCATCCCAAATGAACACATAATAAGCTAATGTATGCCGACTACTTGAGGCTAAATTGATTGAAAAATTAATATCGCCGTCATTTTATAACACACAGCAAGCTAATTAAAGTCACTAATATTTTCTATTCTGGATTATTAAAATCAACCTAAATGGTTTTTGGCTTATTTATATGTAAGATTAATCCAATCAGTCTGAATTTTCTGAAGCTTATAGCAATAATCACTGTCAAATAGAGAAATTTGATGAATCAGATTAATTAAGCTTTGAATCAAACATTTTCTAACCAACCTAAAAGAATGTGGGTTCATTGAAAACAGCTTAAAATAAATCAAGTTGATTAAAATCACCAATATTTTCATGTCACCAATATAAATGACAACTTTTCTCATTAGCCTAAAAGTATCTGGACTCATATTGCATTCATTCCACAAAGTATAATACTAATTGTAAAATACAGAAGACTTTTGCAATCGAAACACGACAGTTTTCAAATTGTCGTATTTAACAATTAGTGTACCAAATATACAATGATGACAATTTCACACGCGCGATTCCTTTGTCTTGCAAAATTAAGTTTTTTGTGCAATTCATCGCATTTGCAATGATAACAGTTCACCACAGGCTATTCGTCGCATAAAACCAAATATATGTGCGTAATTTCTCTACTTAATACTTTACAATAATAACAATTAATCATTTGTGCTATTCGTCATGTGAAGCCAAAATTATTTGCATAATTCTTAGCACACATACGACACTGATGATGAAAATTCATTCTGTGCACTATTCGCCGCGAAAAGTCGAATTTATTTGCATAATTCATGCCGAACACAATACTATTCAATGATGAAAATTCATCATGCGGGCTATTCGAGATGACAAGCAAAACTTATTTGCTTAATTTATCACGGGTATGATACATACGATGATGATAATTCCTCGCACATGCTATTTGCTGCGTTATACCATTTTTTTGCACAATTTGTTGCAGCTTCAAAATTAATTTTTAAAAAAATAGTTTAATTAATAGTCGTTAAAACAAATTCAGTGATAAAGATAGAGATAATTAATGTCTTTAGGGAACTTTTCCAACTAGTAGCTTCTTCGGCTTATATGAAACTTCATCATAAACATGACTAAACGGTAATCAGTAACTTACTTGCAATTCAAACTGCTAACGTAATGTATCAAACGTATTTTTAAAAAAATTCATTTATTACTGAAATACATAAAGACATGACAAATAAAAATGGACAGTAAAAAACAAGAGTTTTTCGATAAGAAGTAAGGACATTGAGATTAACAAAGTCATCATTAAAAAACTTTTGAAGGTGAGTAGAAAAAATGAAACCAGGAATAATGAATGAAAAGGTGTATAAGCATTCCTCGTATTAAGAACACATAAAAAAAACTAAACAATTTTTATTGTCCTTTTGCTTAAAGGATGATTTAGTTACAAAATTTTGCAAACTTCAGAGAGTATGTTTAGCGTCACGGTTTATTAAAACATGCCCAAATAATAAGATAAGAAGTAAAAGCAAATTGTAGCTACTTTTTTTTCAGATAAATATAATCTGAACTATGAGAATTAATCACAGAAAAACGCTCGAAGACAAAATAAGAATTAATACTTAGTTTCACATTAGTATAAGACTGTAAGCTAGCGAAGTTATACTATTGAAAAAGAAAAAAAAAAGCAGAAGCTCAATTATCTTTCCAAACACAATCACTATCGAAGAATGTAAAAGCTTTCCTAACGCTTTCATCCTGGTATTTCCTTTCCTTCTTAAGTATAAAGAAAATAAGAAAAGTATCGATACTCCCGATTGCATTACCCCCATTTCCACAAATGGAAATAGCTAACGATCTTACTTACTTGATCTGTTCGAACGTTTTCCACGGTGAAATTAAACCATACCCTATGCCTGGGATTTGCCACGTCGGGGCGTACGTACAAATCGTAGTCTAGTTCTCCTACATAGTCCACTCTACCTAGATTTCCTAAAAAAGAAAAAGAAAAAAAGTAAAGAATAAGAAATAAAAATGTGCCGTTAAAGAAATGAACTCCAAAACGCAAATGGGTTATATACTTAAGTAGGTTATATGTATTCAATGGGTGCCGGGTTCCTGGTGTAAGAAAACCACGGTCTAAAATATGGATCAAAGAAAGGAATGTGCATGCGTATAAAGTCCAACTTCTGTATTGAATACATTGAGATGAAAAGTAGGAATAGATGTAATGTCATTTCGAAGGATTTTATTGAATACTTCAAGAAAACTTCACTTTTTTTCCTTGAAGTAAATGGATATTGTAGCTTTCTTTTCTCTTCGGGAATCGAAATACTATTACACATCACCCATGGATTCGAATAAAATATTCGGGAACACATTTAGCTGTTTTATTTAATAGTTGAATCGAACGTTCAGTTGCTTCCCCGCATAAGTGGAGTTTTATTTCGAGCTTTTTGAAAGATTTGTTGTTGTTTTTTTATAGTTCATCTTGTTTTGTCGCTAGAGAAAGGCTAAGAATTTTAATTTAAATATATTTTATTAGCAATCTATATCTGTATATGAAAGTTTAAAATAAAAATATTTTTTTACCGTACATTGTTATGAATATTTAAATGCGCTTATACATAATATCGCTTTAAAATTTGCAACAACCTTAGTATGGTGGCTAGCTAAGCCATATTATCGTGCTAATTACTTTTTTTCTTAAACTCGATTACACAAAACTGGAATTCAACTTGAACGCAAATATGGTTCAATTTAACATACATTTAATGTATGATTCAATATGGTGCCAAATTAGGCTACATTATGTGGCTAATTATTGCATTTTAAACTTGATTACACAATACTAGAAACAATTAACTTTTACTTAAAAATCCAAAATGTCACTGACTCAAAATACTCAATGTTCTGCAATTAAATTTTGTGCAAATGGCATATAAATTCGAACACAATGATGACAGTTAGATTAGCAATATTGCCTCGCTGTGTTATAGGTGAGACTGTAGTAAGAAAATAAAAAGTAAAATACTGTAAGTAATTAACATCAACTGGTACGGTAACACAAAAGCACCACGGTAATAGCGCAACCAATATTGCATGCACAATTAAAAAAAACTGATATTAACTTTTTATCCATGGGCGGAATTTTCACATACTTTGCACAAAGGAAAAAAAGAAAGGTAAAAACCTCCAGAATATGGTAAAATTTACATTGTTTCTGTCTCTATGAAAACACCACAAAGCATGGTGATTGTTACCGAAGCGCTTTGGTAATGATTTTGGTAAAATTAACAATAAAGTATGGTTTCCTAATACGCGATAAAATTTGGTAAATCTGGTAAAAATTAGTAATTTTTTCATATCTTTGAGCATGGCTTAGAAACCATTCATTCTTTTAAACTTACTTGTCAGTTTTGTATTTTTTCACTAAATATGGTGTAATGGTAATAACAGTTTTGAAGACCAGAATTTCCGGTAAAACGTTATCATATGAACGAAAAAATTACAAAATTAATGGTTTAAATATAGATCGCTTATTTTGGTTTTATTAACCAGAATTGTGGTTTTTTATAATAAATGTCATTACTATGCACCATGGCAATCATAACAGAATTTTTTTTCTCCATGGTAATAAATAATATTTACATGATAAAATAACGAAATTTAAGACTTGAAAAATACTTATTTAATTTTTGGAAAATTTTTCTGACTTATTTTAATTTTATAAATTAACTAAACAAAAATATGTAGAGACAAATAGTTTTTTTTCTATCAATAACTATATAACAAAAAGACATGAATCTATTTATTATTATAGGACATCAAAACAATAAATAAGATAAAAATGAAGCGAAGAAACTTTATAGTAATTTTTTAAGTATATCTAACCATATACCTAAGAGTGTAAATTGTTACTTCTATTTTAATATATATATCATAAAAAAGATTAGTGCCGTCACACTCTTTCGTATTCACCTATGGACAAAAAGAATTACATGAAATGACACTTAAGCAAAGAAGATCTATATATTTTTGGCTCTCATCAGGGTAAAATTTATAAATTTATCAGCGTTTATATTTCATCCTTTCGTCACATTATTCTCTGCTTTTAGTTAGACTATTATTCAAAATTAAATGCTCTTTAACTAAAAGAGTCATTCCTTTATTGTATTATATAAAGTATATAACTACTTTTTATGCGAAATTTTATAATAATGATATTTAGTTACCGTTTTACGATTAATAAATGGTAAATATAATGGTAATAAACTTAATGGTATATATACTTTCGAATAAGTTGCATTTACTTTCGAAATTAATAAATTTTAAGCACAATTTTGTTCAGCCAACACCGGCGATTAAAATAATGAAAACAAAACATATTTTTAATTCTAAAGCAATACTAAAAATTTACTTTTTGTACTGAAACTAACTAATCTTTTGTTGAAAAATATTTAGATTTTCATAAGAATCAAAACTCAAATAAATTTTAACAAAATGGATAAGCAGTAACGAGCCTAAGTTATTAAGTTCATACTTTATATTAATAAAATAGGACAATAAATCAGTGTTACTACATTGAAAATATTTGGGATCTTTTAAATATATTTTTTTCTTCAATTTTATAATGTAACAATCGCTTTCAAAAAGGCAAAAGTAATTACCAAGTGAGCAGGAAACGGTGCCCCCTAGCCTTTTATATTTATTACGCGTGGAAATTTTTTTACTCTTTTTAGCAAAAATAAATTTATTAATTTTAGAAAATATTTTCTGTATTACGAATTCTTTTGAATGTCTTAATTTTTTTATTCAATTAAAATTTCAGAAAAGTTAAACTTGACTGAATTTCAGGGAGTCAATAAATAAGAATTAAACTTAGATATTTTTCAACATTTTCACGGAAGATAACAATAACTAAAAATATTCTTACAAAAAGAGAAGAAAAAAAAACTTCTAGACATCTTTTGTATGATTGAAGCTGAATTAATTGTGACAGAAAAAAAAGCAATCTTTCACTAAAGACAACAGCCACAGAAAAAATTCTCAAAACAGAAGAAAAGAACGTGTAAGGAAAAATGCGCAGCCAACTTTCTACCAAATTAGGCTCCATTTACATAACAAACGAGCTTAGAATATATTCTGTGGCCGGTGAAGATTGAATTTACTGAATTACTTTATTTATTATTCGTTCTTGTACTTTCTCTTTTTAAGTTAACTCCTCAGGCAACCGAACATTTTGAGCAAGAAGTGGAATTCCATCTCGTGCGCAGACGATAATTGAATAAAAGCTGGTCACACAGCGTGCGAGCGAAAATAAAAAAAAATTGTATCGATCTAATCATACATATGGCGAGCGAATGTTATCATCATATCGGATACATTGAATATTTAAAAAGGCATAGAAGCTATGCTGGGAATGATATGAAATGTATAAATCAAATTTTTATAAATTTTGTTATTACATGCCCTTTTTAGAAAATTTGAAAGTAATAAATTAAATTAAGATTTATGTACGTAGAGACATTTTAAAAGTCCGTTTTTACTCATTTGTTTGTTATTCACTTTAAAGTAAAAAGTGTCCAATTTTAGAATGTTTTCATTAAATAATTTGCAGTATATTGTCAATAGGTTACAAGTAATTTAAATCTCGAAACCGACGAGCATTTACGTACATTTAAAAGTTTATCAATCCCTGTAATTGTATAAATACATTTTTTTTTAATTTTTTTTAAACTTTTGGATTCTTAAACTCCATTATTGTTTTTTCATTCGCTGTATTTTTTTTTGTTTTTAAAAGACCATATTTTGTATTTAAATACCCCTTTTCATAAATGGTTTAAGTACCCTTTATTTCGGTTTTTGTTAACCAGAATTAGTTTTTTTTAATAACAGAAATGTTACTACCATACAAGACGGTAATATCTCCAAAATATCCACGTCTACTTGACTAACTACAAGTTTAATAGATTATAATTCCCGAAATAATTTACAAACTTTGCTTTTTTTCGTTTCATCTTTCTTTGTGTATATTTTTCTATACTCATTCGCAATTTCAGGTTTCTAAGCCTTTTAGAGTATCTATGTCGTTGTAGAACAAAATATAACAACTCCTGAAATGGCGGCAAAACCGAAGCTCAGTATTTTAATTACAGAATAGAGAGAAGGTTCCATTAAAACCCTTAGTGAATCCACTAGCGGAAATTTTAAACACAGTTCATAATGAGAAAACACTCAAAAAATGGATCAAATTTTGAGTACTCAATGTGTTTACGTATTTTTGCTTACTAAGTTTTGAACCTCACTTAGTGTTCCGAAACTGAATTTACCTCAAAATCCTAACATTAAATCAGATATAGCAATTTGATTTTTCTTATCAATGCTCTGTCTTTAACAGAAGGATCTAGTTTCAAGTCAATGCAATGCTTTCAGAGAAAAATACTTTATTCTTCTATATACAGAATAATTAAAAATAACGTCAATAAGAACCATTTAAGCGAACAAATTGGTGACAAGGCTTGGAGGGAGACTCTAAACAGGATACCAGATCACCCAAGACGGAATGCGGTTGCTGCCTTTGGCTGGCAACCGGGCCGGACTATCTTGAATCTCACCTCTACAGACTTAAGTGCCTTCCTTACCCAAATTGTATTTTGTGAAGGGAGGATGCCCTGATGAATGCTGAGCACCTAAGGGTTTGTCCAGCAGTGGTAGGAAACATCTACGACAGATACTGGAGGGTACGTGAGCAATTACAAGTCATGCAATCTGAATGACTTTCTATTAACTGTGTTTATGTTTTTGATATTTTTGACACTTTTCCTATAGTTTGTCTAAAATCTGAACTCCTCCAGACATTCATCTGGAACTGTGGTGGTGATAACGAGGTGTGATAACCGATGGAGGTAAGACTATTTCAAGTAGGGATGCGGGGTCACTGTTTTGGAGCGGTTTCGGCTCGGATCGGCGAGAGAAGTTCAGAAATATCG